ATGATGATTACGCCCGGAAATAAGGTGGTTCGGGCACCTAGTTAGGATGCCACCTGGGCGCCTCCCTAGGGAGGTGTTCCAGGCACGTCCAGCTGGGAAGAGACCAAGGGGTAGACCTAGGACCAGGTGGAGGGATTATATCTCTTCGCTGGCCTGGGAGCGCCTTGGGATCCCCCAGTCAGAGCTGGTTGATGAGGGGAAAGGAAAGTTTGGGGCTCTCTGCTGGAACTGCTACCCCCGCGACCCGACCACGGATAAGCGGGAGAAGATGGATGGATGGATGATAACTTATGACGTTTGTTAACTTTCATATATATTATTCATCAATTTAAAAAAAAATGTATTACATTGTTCTCACTCTTTAGGTGTGTATGCCTAGTTACCATATCATTTCTTAAAATGCAAAAACCCGGTGTGTCTACGTGCTACAGAGAAGAGGATCAAACTCTTCAAAATGTTTTAATTTCTGTAGATCTTTGGATAAAAACCTCAAGCTTTTCCCTCAGCATCCCTTCCCTGGGTGATAATAATCTTGTCAAATATCACATAATTCAGAAAACCAAAAAAAAACATCCTTCGTTTGTTGTTCCTCCAGGTGTGGGTGCTGGGAGAATACCTCTCGGTGTCATGTGACTCCCGCTGCTCCGTGACGCTCATCACTTCCTGTTTCGAGGCGTTGGAGGCGGTGCTGTTTGAGATCACGTCCTCCGTCCCCCCGCCCGGCGCAGACTGCCCCGCCCCCAGAGTCGTCACCACTCTGATGAGCGCTCTGGCCAAGCTGGCGTCACGATCACATGACCTCATACCCAGGTGACCGCCTCACACGCATGTTTGAACACCTCCATGATATATTTTAAGGTCTGTTCCATTCTCCTGGACACAAACACTGCCTTGATGGATTTAAAGGTCCCCTATTATACTGTTTTTCATCAATATATTACAGGTCTCAGATATATACAGAACATGTCTCTGAAGTGTCCAAATACCAAACAGGTCATTGCAGCATTACCCATAATCCCCTCTGTTTCAGCCCTGTTTCAAAAGTGCTGATTCTCTGTCTGTTACTTTAGATGAAAATAAGGAGCCCCTCCCCACGCCCCTCTGAGAGATATTTGGTTACAAAGAACTCAATGGTGCTCTAGGAGGAGATAAGGGGGGGGGTACCTTGGTTGGTGATTGGCTAATGGTTACACAAGACAAAACATCATTATGACATCATAAAGTGGCCAAAATCTGATCAGCTCATTTTCAGACAGGTTTTTATAGAAATGGATCAGGACAAAAAGAGAGAGAATCTTTGTTCCTGAAACTTTCAGAGTCTCTTTACACAGAGGGGACACATGTTGATGTAGAAGAGACATGAAGAAGAGGGGACACATGTTGATGTAGAAGAGACATGAAGAAGAGGGGGACACAATGTTGATGTAGAAGAGACATGAAGAAGAGGGGACACATGTGATGTAGAAGAGACATGAAGAAGATGGGGACACATGTTGATGTAGAGATAGAAGAGACATGAAGAAGAGGGGACACATGTTGATGTAGAAGAGACATGAAGAAGAGGGGACACATGTTGATGTAGAAGAGACCTGAAGCAGAGGGGACACATGTTGATGTAGAAGAGGACATGAAGAAGAGGGGGACACATGATGATGTAGAAGAGACAATAAGAAGATGGGGACACACACTGTTGATGTAGAAGAGACATGAAGAAGAGGGGACCACATGTTGATGTATAGAAGAGACATGAAGAAGAGGGGACACATGTTGATGTAGAAGAGACATGGAGAAGAGGGCACACATGTTGATGTAGAAGAGACATGAAGAAGAGGGGACACAGTTGATGTAGAAGAGACATGAAGAAGAGGGGACACATGTTGATGTAGAAGAGACATGAAGAAGAGGGGACACATGTTGATGTAGAAGAGACATGAAGAAGAGGGGACACATGTTGATGTAGAAGAGACATGAAGAAGAAGGGGGACACATGTTGATGTAGAAGAGACATGAAGAAGAGGGGACACATGTTGATGTAGAAGAGACATGAAGAAGAGGGGACACATGTTGATGTAGAAGAGACATGAAGAAGAGGGGACACATGTTGATGTAGAAGAGACATGAAGAAGAGGGGACACATGTTGATGTAGAAGAGACATGAAGAAGAGGGGACACATGTTGATGTAGAAGAGACATGAAGAAGAGGGGACACATGTTGATGTAGAAGAGACATGAAGAAGAGGGGACACATGTTGATGTAGAAGAGACATGAAGAAGAGGGGACACATGTTGATGTAGAAGAGACATGAAGAAGAGGGGACACATGTTGATGTAGAAGAGACATGAAGAAGAGGGGACACATGTTGATGTAGAAGAGACATGAAGAAGAGGGGACACATGTTGATGTAGAAGAGACATGAAGAAGAGGGGACACATGTGATGTAGAAGAGACATGAAGAAGTGGGGACACATGTTGATGTAGAAGAGACATGAAGAAGAGGGGACACATGTTGATGTAGAAGAGACATGAAGAAGAGGGGACACATGTTGATGTAGAAGAGACATGAAGAAGAGGGGACACATGTTGTTGTAGAAGAGACATGAAGAAGAGAAGACACATGTTGATGTAGAAGAGACATGAAGAAGAGGGGACACATGTTGATGTAGAAGAGACATGAAGAAGAGGGGACACATGTTGATGTAGAAGAGACATGAAGAAGAGGGGACACATGTTGATGTAGAAGAGACATGAAGAAGAGGGGACACATGTTGATGTAGAAGAGACATGAAGAAGAGGGGACACATGTTGATGTAGAAGAGACATGAAGAAGAGGGGACACATGTTGATGTAGAAGAGACATGAAGAAGAGGGTTTTGCATAATATACCTCCATACAGTAATATATTGTAAAGTCTGGCCCTTTCTCCTGAACACGAACACAGCCTTAATGAACTTTTATCAAATTTGGCATATCCTTTAGTTTTATAAGACTGCATTATAATCAGTTATGACCATTTAAAATTATTGTGGTCACTTGTTTTGGCCATAACTCAAGAATGAATATGCTAATCACAACTTCATTTCACACATAGGATAAAAGGATGATGTCATACAGCTTTATATCCCGAAGGTCAAAGGACAACTTTAAGCATAGAATCATATAATACAAGGCCAGGCACTCGAAAGTGACAAACCAATATGCAGTCAGATAAAACGTCATTCCTTTCCACTGTACAGGAGAGCACAATGGCTACACAGACTTCACCTTGCCAAATAAATACAATTCATTCTGATTTCTGTGCATAGCATTTAAAATGGTATGGGTTCATGGCTCATTGAAAGCTTGGTTTAAGGCTCATGCACTTGCAGGATTCTTGCCGTTTGTATCTTGGTTGACTTATTGTAAGTTGCCTGGCTTACATCAAACTTTAATGTGACACTAATCTTCGGTACCTATTTGAATCTTTGTTCATTTAGAAAATGATTCTATGCTGCCAGGTTAAAGATGTGTTCGGAGCGTCCACACACGAAGGGGAATGTCGTTGCTGACCATTCATGTCAATAAAATGATAAACTCCATTTAATCCAAAACTACACTCAATATTTTTTTATTAAATTCCTTCAAGGTCTTCACACTCGTTGGTTGAAGCATACAACCCCAATCGTTTTTTTGTTTAAAGGTGGGGTAGGTAATTCACTTCAGAAACACTTGTTATATTCCATGGAATGCTCTTAACATCCCGATAGCAATGAATATATTAAATGCTTTGACAATAAATACATTAAAACATTTAATCTGTGGAAGCCGTGGCGCTGTAAAAAGCACGACCAATCATCTGAGCCGGCCCGGCTAAAGTAACTGGATGGCCTACCTGCCTGTCAGCCTTCCATCTGGGCACAAACTTATCTCGTGCCCTCATTGGTCATGAGCGCGTTCGTGTGTGTTGGAGGAGGGGCTCTGTGAGGAAGTGGCAGATTTGTTCCGGTTGTGTATTTTCAAATTCTAGCGCACTCGAGCTGGTTTCTCCATTCTTACCTTTAAGTACAGTATGGAGGTTACTTGTACTTTACACTTCATGACACAAATTACTTACCTTTAATGTCATTGATTTTAACAAGATACAGGGAGGAAATTGTTTAATCATAACTGGGTGTTTACGGTTTATTTATTTGGTTTGTTATTTTATCTTTTCTTGATAACCATTTACCTCTTTTATGTATTTGTTTATTTATTTGTTGTTTTTGTTTTTCAATAACAAATGTATTTCTTTAAGAAAAAAAAAAATATGTTTAATAATTTAGTTTTTGGGAGAAGGGGTGTGATTAAATAAGTGTAAACTTCTTCCCACCCCTTTTTGGATGTGTAATTAAGTAGATCATTTGTTTATATATAATTTAGGATCAGTAATATGTTTGTTTATCAATTTGACACTGCTTCATTTTGTATTGTATAATAATTCTCATTTCATTATAATTATAATTTTTTTGTATTATTGTTTTACACAAATCAAATACAAAATGTCATGTAACGGTGTGTTTTATCCACATTTAGGGTGTCTCTGTTCCTCTCCAAGCTGAGAACGGTCACCAGAGGCGGGTCGGTCGCCTGGTGCTCCGATGAAGAAGACCTTGTTGCCATAGTAACGCGAGGCGAGGAGTTGTGGTCGCTGCTAAAAGCCCCCGGTGTAGCTCAGAGCGTCCTGACCCCCCCTGCACACGTCACCACCCCCCAGTGGCACAGAGACACCAACGTGGCCTTACCTCTCCGACTGAGGACCCTCACAAACCTCACACACTCACATTAATATCACACACACACACAACCATACACACACACACACAGTCACATGACCATGCACAGGGAGATACCCCTCATGAAATATGCATCCTAATAAATCTTGTTTGATTCTTTTGCACATTGTTTTTGTAAATAAATGAGATTATTTGATTGAATTGTGGTGTGGTGGAGCATTTTTGACATCCATAAAACACACAAATCCCTCAGAGTAATATAGAATCTCTTCTTTATTATAGTGAAAATACAATTGAACAAAATAGATCATCTGAATTAAAAAACAAAGCTCTCTTCCTGAGTAAGTGTTCTGTTTTTCGGCAAAAACTGAACAAATTAAGCTACTAGACATTAGGGAAAACGTTTGATCTAGATGGTGTTTGAAGCAGAATAAATCATTAAAACTGTGGTAATTCTGTCATTTTCCGAGTATTTGAGTAAATTCTTCATAAAATAACTGATAGAAAAGTGTTCAAGGATACATTGCTAAAAAAACAACAACTGGCAATCATTGTCCTGTTAACAAGATAATCAACATCTTTGGGGGAATTTAACAAGCAGGGTTCTTACGGTCATTAAAAACCTGGAAAAGTCATGGAAATTCAAAATGCTAATTCCAGGCCCTGGAAAAGTTATGGAACACAATATTTTTCCCAACATTTTGGAAATGTAATTAAAGTTGCATCAACTATAATTTATATGTTATCTAATCGCCAAAATAGTAATACTATGATGATAAATACTGTATCGTATAGTAATGAAACGTAAAATGGCATTTAAATGCCAATGTGTTTTGCTGGTGAGAGATTTGAGTTGCTTTAGCCTGTAGAAGCTAGTAAGCCTACTATTTGAGTTGTTTTAGAGAGGCACAACATGTTTCATATGCAGACCTTATATTCCTGTTCCATGTGCTACCGCTGAGAAAGAGTCATTTTTGTGGTCATGGAAAATTAGGTAAAGGTCATGGAGAAGTCATTGAAAATCATTGGTGAAAAAGTGTATGAACCCTGAGCCCTGAAGGTTAGTGTTACTTACATTAGCTTTAGATTTATCATCTTTTAAAAACCACAATACAGTAAAGTAGGGGAATAGATTTCTATGCAGAACTACACGGACCAGTTCTACTAAAGCCTGTTAGTCGACCTTTATCTGGAATAATAGCGGGTCAACAACAGTCATGTCAGTGTGACCTAGCTAATATATGACGTCCTTTAGTTTGACAGTTCGGCAGTCAAAGTCCACCTAACCTTTTAACAAATATCAGAATCAATGTTTACACTAAACTACTCCATCACCTGAAATGGACAGTATTTGGCTTGAAATCAAACTGATGTTATGCTAAGCTAAAGTTATGCTAATCGGACAACAATGTGTGTCGTCCTAGTCCCAAATCTATATTTCAATGTTTTGCCGCTGTGCAAAATGGGCAAAAATAATGTAAAGTAAGTGTTTAGCACCTTTATGAAGGAATGTAAGTGGTACATTTTGGCACTTCACTGTTGGAATGTTTAAAAGAGTGGAGTTTACTAGCCTAGCATAGTTTAGCATGTGCCATCAGGTCTGTCATAGAGGTAATAGTTTGACATGTTATATGCTAATTTGCTTATTAGGTGCAGAGAATTAGATAGGAACGTTTATTCCACACTCAAATCTACAGTAAAAGGCACATTTACGACTTTATTTAAAAAACAAAAAATCTATAAATGTACCACTTTAATTTCATAGAATAGCTGAGTTTTCTTTCTACTAAATTTAGTTCAAACTTGGCAATCCGTTTTTTATTACAATACCAAAACACTTGTTTTAAATTTTAAAAAAATTGTGAGTTTGCTCATTGGCTAGCTGTTTCCCCTTGTTTCCAGTCTCTATGCTGTAAGCTAGGCTAACTAGCCGCTAGAAGTAGCAACGTATTTAGCATGAGAGTGGTATCATCTTCTAACTCTCGGGAAGAAAGTGAATAAGCATATAAGTATATTTTCAAACTATTCCGTATGCTGAACTTTTGGTAATATAAACTTTCTGGCTCATTATAAATATCTCCCATGAGTTGATGAACGAAAAGGACCATTCATACCGAGCAGAATACAGCAGAATTCAATCATAAGTTTGGTCCATTCAGAAAACATTTTGACTGATCAGTCAGTTTAATAATTAGCGTGTTGAAATCAGGGCTGGGCAGTATATCAATGTGATATAAGACTATGTAATGTCTTAGATTTTGCATATCGTGTTATTGTTAGTGTTGTCTTACATTACATGTTACTTGTTAGACGCTTTTCTCCAAAGCGTCTAACATACTCAATACTGTGGACAGTATCCCCACAGGAGCAATTTGGGGTATAGTGTCTTGCCCAGGGACACAACGACATGCTGACTGCAGTGGGGTTTGAACCTGTGATCCCCTGATCCGATCACCAACGCACTAACGCACTGCGCCACACGCCTCCTCATTACAGAGAAGCGATGTCAATCTCTGAAGTTTCTGATTGTTCTGCCTTTAACCACTAAGGCATTACATCAACACTAGTAGAAGTGATTTATCAACAACTTGTATTTTGTGAAATCACCAATAGTTAACCCTACAATATCGTACGAATATCAATATCACGGTATTTGATCAGACATTTTGTGATATTTGATTTTCTCCATATCGCTCAGCCCGAGTTGAAATGTCTTTTAGTGTTTGGTCCCCCAACTGTGGAGAATTTCATCTGATCAGATCACCTCAGCACCATTTATTTCCTTCATGAGTCAAAACACAATGTTCCCATGGATAAAATGTCCTGTTTTTCCCAGTTAGTCACATGATGCAGATCAGCTGACCTCATAGAGCAGCCAGTCACCTGGAGGTCTTCAGCGGCGGCCCCGGTAAGTACAGGTACCTCCAGATGGCGTAGTAATGAACGCAGGCTCCAGCAGCGACAAAGAGATGCCAGATGGCGTGAGCGAAGGGGACGAGTCCGTCGCTCTTGAAGAAGATCACGCCCACCGTGTAAAAGACGCCTCCTACTGCGAGCTCACACACACCTGAACGCTCACCCTGGAACAGAAGACAAAAGTGAAGTCGTAGGCTATAAGTGAAGAGTTGGTAGAGCAAAGACCAAATGAAAAAGTATAAGATAATAGTAATAATATAACAAATCTAACAAAGTATAAAAAGGGGGTTCTAACAGTTGATGTTTGTATCCCAAATAAATACAATATATTCTAATATACTATATAGGGGTGTAACGGTTCACAGAAGTCACGGTTCGGTTCGTACCTCGGTTTGGGGGTCACGGTTCGGTACGGTTCGGTACAACAAGAAAAAGCAAAAAAAAAGTCCCAAATGCATAATTCCAGGTTTGTTGTTATTTATGTTTGAACAGTAGTGCAAGTTTCAATTTATTTTTTTAAAAAGAACTATTTTTTGAATAATTAACTGTATTAAACAGTTAAAAACAAACCATACACAGTACACTCAGATGGCCATATTATCTATAATGGCTGATGTCAAACAAAAAGGTTTCATCAAGCTGTAAAGCTAAAAAGAATGTCTTGAAAATATGACATCATAAATAATAAGAAAGTGTTTCAAGAGCGCAAAGTCGTTGAAAAACATATGCCAAAAGCTTCCGTTATTTATTTTGGTCTCACGGCTTTCATTTCTATTGGTTTATAAAAACAGCGGGGATCAGCTGTTGAACTGCTGCTGTCTTTTGCCGGGCTCCGGTGATTGGCAAATCTGGGTGATGCCTTCTGGTATGATTTAGCATGTTTGGCGTGTGTTACCATTAGCATACCGCACCGCTATTGAACAACGGCGACACACCGTCCTCGTCCGATCCACCACTCGCACACTCCATCGTTATTGTAGTCCACAGGGAACCCGAAATGTTCCCACACAGCTGATTTAAAAGAAGCAGGTGGGTTCTAGCTTCTGTGTGTTCTCTGAAATCGCCATACTAACTTTTCTTCTTCTTGTATTTTGTTCGTTTTGTTGTTGTGTTTCTTCTTGTTCTTCATTTGTTGTTTAAGGGCGGCTGGCAAACAGCTTTTAGGCCCCCTGGATTATAAATAGTGTAGTGGATACTGCCCTGAATGACACTTTTTTTCCCACTCGTAAAAAAAATGGGTATTCGTCGTGTGACTGCGTGTGCCGAACCGTGACGTCCGAACCGTGACGGTACGGGACGAATACGAATACCGTTACACCCCTAATACCAGGGCCGGACTGGGACAATAAGTCAGGCCGGGAATTATACATCCAACCAGGCCACTACCAGTTTTCTTTTGTGTAATTTTCCTGGATTTATTTGTCAATATGTACAGCGTTGCTGCCCGTAGTGATAGCCATAAACTTTAAAACTACCCCAGAATAAACATATGGACATGGGTTACTATTTTTTTTTAAAGTGCAAATCTATTTAGGAACCTATCCATGTGAACATATTTTAAGTGGAGGTGGACCTCAAATCCTCTAGGGGGTCGGGGGGCATGCTCCCCGCGGAAGATTTTTTTTTTTTTAAATGTTGGACTTAAATGCATCAATCTGGTGCACTCTGAGGGGGAAATAAAGAGACTACACCCATATGAAACAGAACTGTATACATTTAAATAATCATAAAATCATAAGAACATGGCCATAGCCAATAACATACCATATCCAATATGAAAAAACATTGAAACTTGTTTATTTATTTGTTTTTGGTTCATTTATAGTTAGCATGGCATAGTGTGTCTGTGCTCCTGAACCAGCCTCACCTGTCTCTCTCCTCTCCCCCCTGCTCCTCTTTGAGGCAGCAGCAAAGACTAGTTTTAGCTCTCAACAAGTTTTTAAAGTTTATCCTACCTTTTTTCACCTAGTTAACTTTTTGTTGTTGTATTATTCATGCGTATTTTACTAATCACTCCCCCCTCAAATGGAAATATGTGTTTACATAAATGGTAACCAAACCGTTTGAGACCCACAGTGAACTTAGACTAAGTTAACTATCTAAACACTACTAAAGTCCTTTACCTCACCTGAGCTGTAGTTATCAGTCTCTCAGTCTGACAGGAGAGGACTCTCCTCCACCTTGTTGACAGCTCATTCCGTTAGCGCCGCTAGCTAGCACTGGATGCTAACAATAACAATACACGTAACCAGTGCACGCGCTTTCTCTCTCGCTTGCTCGCGCCACACATACACACCCTCCCGAGCTTGAATGACACGAGACCAATCGAGGGCATTAGTGTATGATCTGTATGAAAGTGGCCATGTCGGCAGGCCACATCATGTAGACAGCCAGTCACCCTCTGTGAGGCAGAGTCAGACCCACATTTGCGCAGCGTTGCGTTCACAATAGGCTACATACAAAAAATTCCTCAGGCCAGCAGGCCACTTAACAGGCCAGGCCATCGGGAAACCTCCCGGTCCTCCCGATGGCCAGTCCGGGCCTGCCTAATACTATATATATATAGTAATTTAAGGACAAACAGTAATTTGTATTCCTTATAGACTGAGTTTTGATAGTTACTTTAAAAGTTATTTATGGCTTCAAATCTTTAAAAAAGATATAAACCTAAAACCTAGCTAGCCAGGCTTTTAATAAAAAAACGGTTAATTTATTTTCTATTTTGTTGTATTTCATTTGTAACATTGTATTGTATAGTGCTGTCATTTAATTTTGTATTTATTTTCTTGGTCTCAAATCGTTGAACAGTTTGTTTTTTCTTTTCTTTTCACGTCAATCTTCTCCCGTCTTAAATTACAGCTTGTCAGTAATCTTTGGAGCACTTTGAGCTGCACTTACTGGTATTATAAGTGCTTAATTTATGAATAAATTACAATGTTATACAACCTTATACCTGACACTAAGTCATTTAAGAAAAAATAGTTATGTTACAGGAACTAGAGTGGTAGGTTATGGGCAAAAACAAACAAAAGAACACATGTTCAGTGTCCGATTCCCAAACAATAGCAGGAAGCCTGAAGCACCGGAAGAGGGCTCACTGAATAAAGCTTGTTTATTCCCGTAAAAGCGGAAGAAAGTCCACGTTTAAACCTTTATGCTCACCATGGATAGGATGACCAACGCAGGAACCACCCCCATGGACACATATCCCAACAGCTCTATCAGCTTGTACCTGTATGTAAAAACAACAACAGAGGACATTAAAACAAATACCACACCTCCTCACATCTTCTATGTAATTGTTTCTGCTTCAAACAGCTGCCCGGTGTTTCCTGTAAACACTCGAGGACGGGAGTTTGGTTTCAGGTTAATTGCGTCAAACGGTGACGAGGAGGAGCAGAGAGACGGAGTGTATTACCTCTCGTGGAAAAGGAAGACACACATGGATCCGACGCAAGCCATGACCCAAATGAGCCAGCGCATGTGACACACCCAGGGCCCGAGCTCCCTCAGCATCAACCTGTGGAGACACAGCGCTACATTCAATATTTACGCTTCGTAAAGGGACTCTGTCATGCTTTGTGGGGTTCTCCCTTTCCTGTAGAGCAGGGGTGTCCACATACAGAAAAACATACGAAGGGCTGGGTCGCTCACTAGAGACGAGGTAGATTGCCTTATAAGTTAAGTTAGCAAAATCAATCAAATGTAGGTCAATTATGCTTAATACTTGAATTTGCTTTAAAAACAAAAACAACAGCCTACATCACAGCTCTCCGTAGGGTTTCATTTATTTTGGTAGCAGCTCATTCCTTAAAACAGAAGCCTCAGATTGCTTACTGTATAATAAGAGGAAATAATATGAAGAGTTTATTTCAAGCTTGTTATGTAAATAAGTTATTGGGCTTTTTTTCTATCAACTAACATTTGTTTTCAGCTTCAACTGACTGAATGTATTTGAAGTGGGCTTCGTAACACATGAATACTACTGTGTAATATATGTTTTCATCTATATTTAAGAAGTACAAGACAAGCACAAGTTTCTTTGTGGGCCATATTTCATTATACTTTTAGAATTTGCTGAGGGCCGATTCAAAATGGCTCGCGGGCCGCATTTGGCCCCCGGGCCGTAGTTTGGACACCCCTGCTATAGAGTGTTGTATAGGTGTTTGTGCAAGTAAAAGGTCTGTAAAGGCTATAATCCCAAAGTGTCCTGTCTAAAACGCCTCCATTGGACTCCTTTGTTTACTTCCCTAACACAGACTGGTTTCAGGTTTCAGACAGAGGGTGAAAAGAGGCAGTATGAGAAAGATAAAGACATTTTTGAACATTAAAGCATTTAAACATGTCACAGTAGAGGCACAACATACAAATATGGAACCTGATAATTAGCATAATATGGCCCCTTTAACACGTTATTTTATCCACAGGACTGCATATTCAGTATTGACTCACCATGGAGAGTATGAGGCAGCGATGAAGAAGTAGATGGCCATTCTGTCACACATGTGGAAACGCTGCTCCACAGTCCTACACACAGACAAAGAAAAGGAAAATAAGAGCTCTAATTTATTACCAATATGTCATTACAAAGAATTTAATTACTTTAAAGGTTTACAGAATACTGACGTTTATCTCAGTACATGGCAGATCTCACATTTTAGAAGGCAAATTCGGTTGTTGGGAAAACACACACACACATTCCTACAGCGTACACAAGTCCACCGTGATCCTAAAGGTTCTGATCCTCTTAGATGCAACCGATCCTATTAATGTATGGAATGTGCTATAATGGGCTTTAACACCACATAAAACGCTCTTTTGTGAGCCGAAAATATGCCACTCACACACACAAGAGAACAATACATATCGAAGCATATGACACACACGTGGTGAAAGGAAGAAATGAATCTGATTATAACATGAAAAAGAGAGAAAATAGTGTGCTGATGATGAGGACAACAATGCCCTCTGATCAGAGCCTGTGAATCCCTATCCTGTCCTTTCGGTACATTACACACACACACATACCATGTATACATCTCTTCAGGGGACATTACATTGACTTACATGCATTTCCTGGAGACTTATCCTAACCTTAACCATAACCAACACATGCCTAACCCTAACCCTTACCCTTACCCTAACCAAGTCTTCACCCTAAAATTAATGATTCTCCTTATGGGGACCTCCAATTTGTCCCCATAAGGGCGGCGAGTCCCCACACGTGACTGTGTAAACAGATGTAGGTCCCCACAAGTATAGTAATGCTAGGCCACACACACACACACTAGGGCTGCTCAATTAATCGTATTTTAATCGCAATTACGATTTTGGCTTGCAACGATTATGAAAACAACATCATCGAAATAAAATTATTGTTTATTTTATTTATTTGTATTGGTTTTTCAGTTGAATTATATTTAAAGTTCAGGGTAATCAACTGCTAAAAACATACTGTTCACATTTTTTCAATAAATGGATGTTTTCAAAGTAAATGGATAATCGTTTTTTATAAATGTGATATCAATTATTGCCCCAAATAATCGAGATTATGATTTTTGCCATAATCGAGCAGCCCTAACACACACACACACACACACACACCGTTCTTAGTTAAACATGTTAATAAAATCTAAAGTAAACACAGATGAAAAAATCTCATTTGCAGAGGTAAGATAGATTTAATTAATTATACTTGATAAAGTACATACAGTAGCACCAGTCCAAATCAATTGAGAGTCAACCTCATTAATCAACCTCGAACATAACATAGATTGGGATACAGCGAACAAGAAGGCATCACCTCAGCTGAGTAGCTGATGTTTTTATTAGACCCAGGAGAGAATAAACATAATTATAGGCAACATTTCAAGAACATGGCGTTCTGAGATATATATACATATTTAATGTGGGAATTCAAAGTGTTAAAACTTGGAAGAGTTTGTTTCTATGTGAGAGTGTGTTTGGCTATTAATAGTTAAGCGAATGCTATTTAAAGGGTGTTAGTTGAACGTGATGTGAAATATTTTCATTACCACGGAGCATCTGTTGTTTTCTCTCTGGTCTTCTGGCTCTGTCATAATTAACAGACTACTTGTCTGAGTGTGCAGCACATGAAAACACACACATGCACAGCTGCCAAATCCCTAACAGCATCTCCCTTCAACACACACACACACACACACACACACACACACACACACACACACACACACACACACACACACACACACCGGAGGTGGCTGATTTTCCAGGCAGCGGTGTGGAAGAGCGTTGAGGTGAGAAACAGGCCGGTGAGACCGCTGCCGTAGAGCCAGGCAGCCACGCGATGCCATTGGTCCAGAGACAGGAAGTAGAGCATAGACCCGCCCACCAGACTGGGGATGATCCACAACTAGAAAAGATAGAAAATATAAAGTTTCTCATGATACACACAATGATTTTTACATATTGTATGAAACTTTTTTTTAATGTTATGATTTCTCAAAGTTGTATTAGAAAAAAATATATGAAATGTTGATATTAAAACCAACAGGAATGTGACAAGGTATTAGTGTGTCCAGTTTTAGTTTCTTCTTGGGAGATTATACTGCATTTGTCCGAGAATGTCTCCCTGATATTCTTAACATGACTCTCTCTCTGAATAACTTTATCTTTTAAAACAGCCAAACTACTTTTAATATTATCCGCAAATAGTTATTCATTCGAAATGTCAAAAGGCAAACTAAACCGTACGATAGCAGACGTTCCTCTGTTTGGTTGCTTATTCAGTTGTCGAGTTGGAGATGATGTCAAAGCATTGCTAGCGTTATTAGCTGAGAATCGCGCCTACACTGAGGCAGAACTTTCTGCAGTGGAAACATAATAATGAAAAAAGGCCTGAAACAAAAACGTAGTCTATTAGAGTTTTGCCATTGTACCATGCACGGAAATATGGGCATAACTTTGAAGCTACAACAACTAGCAATCGGTTGGTTAAGCTTAGCAGAACTGGAAACATCTAGCCTGGCTCTGACCAACAATCAAATTCCACCTACCAACACCTCTAAAGCCTGCCAATTGACATGTTATCTTGTATGTTTAATGGTTAAAAGATGGTCAATTTGTATCGATACATGTAAGTAAGCAAAGTGATTTTGTTAATGTTGGAAAGCTTTTTCCTCATTTCCTGTCTCTACGCTAAGCTAACCAGCTGTTACATGATATCAAACTTCTAATCTTGTCCACAAAGCAACAAATATCAAACTATTCTGATTCTGTATCTCAGAAACGTTGAGGATGATTCTTGTTGTTAATGGGAAACACTGCGCTGAATTGAACTGTGACTCGCTAAAGGAATGAATGGATGAAGCATCAGACAACCCTGGGCCATTTAAGGCTTAAGAGTCATTACAGCCATGTTTCCTCTCTGCTTTCTTTCATGTCTCTCCGTCTGTTTCATTCACTCCGTCTGTCTTGTTCTGTCCGAGGCGGAAGCGTACAGGGATTACAGCAGATTAGAGAAAACTACAGGCTGAATCACAGATTATAGCCTCTATGGCACGGCCTCAAATCCTCTGTATTCCTGCATTATTCCTCGCAATCCCCTCCATCTTTCAAAAGGCTTCTCTGAACTCAAACACTCACGAAAGAGAGAGAGCAACGGGACAGGGAGATACCAGAATTGGATCTGAATCCATTCCATTACATCACATGTCACTTGTTAGACGCTTTCATCCAAAGTGATTTACATACTCAATACTGTGGGCAATCCCCACAGGAGCAATTTGGGGTGAACGACATGCTGACTGCAGTGGGGTTTGAACCTGTGACCCCCTGACCCCAACACATACACACAACCCACTGCACCACACGCCGCCTCTACAATTTATTCTACGGGAAATTGGGTTTCGTGACATTTGATCTTATTTCAAATAAGACAAAATATTTTTTAATTAATTTAAAGTCAAAGTAAAAAATAAAATAGCATTAATAAATGTGTATATAAAAATAAGAAATTAAGGAATAATGTGCAAAAAAAGGATAAATAAAATAAAATAGGGTAAAACTATTTGTGGATAATCATCAGAAGTAAAAATGTGCAAAAAATATCAAATAAAATATTTATATGAACATAAAAAGCAACATTAGACATTTGCAATAAGAATGTTTAAACAAAATACCAATATGTATATCAAATATAAGAATTTAAAGTAAGACATGTGTTGTAAAAAACATAAAATTACAATATGTATATTAAGTAAAAATCTGTACCATAGTAAAACATTGATAATATGGAAAGATTAAATAAATTGTGCAAAATGTAACTTAAATATGTGCAGTGGCTTATTAGTATTACAAAGATATTAATGCTGAATGGCAAAGCAAAAGAGTGTTTCAGCTGCTGAAGAGTTGAGCGTAAAAACTGAAGAAGATCGTTTACTATAAGGTTTGTTTCTACTTGTTTGTATTTGTTTTCATCTCACCCCATGTGTGGCACAGTTTGCAGCGTGCTCGTACTCAGTGGGCTGGTATCTCTTACTGGCCGGGACCCTGCAGTTCATGAACCTGAGAGAGAGGTGAGGAGGGGGAGGCAGAGTGAGAGAGAGGGAAAGGGGGGAGAGAAATTGAAATCTTCAACTATTAACAATATATTTCAGAAATCTTTATGTGCTGTTAAAGCCCATTATAGCATTCCATACATTAATAGGATCGGTTGCATCTAAGAGGATCAGAACCTTTAGGATCAAGGTGGACTTGTGTACGCTGTAGGTGTGTGTGGTGTGTGTGTGTGTGTGTGTGTGTGTGTGTGTGTGTGTGTGTGTGTGTATGTGTGTGGTCTAGCATTACTATACTTGTGGGGACCTAAATCTGTTTACATAGTCACGTGTGGGGCCTCGCCTCCCTTATGGGGACAAATTGGAGTTCCCCATAAGGGGAATCATTAATTTTAGGGTGAAGACTTGGTTAGGTTTAGGGTAAGGGTAAGGTTAAGGGTAAGGGTTAGTGTAGTGTATGGTAATGGTATGTGTGTGTGTGTGTGTGTGTGTGTGTGTGTGTGTGTGTGTGTGTGTGTGTGTGTGTGTGTGTGTGTGTGTGTGTGTGTGATGGTCATTCTTGGAGGATTTGCAGGTCTCTAATCCACATCACGATGTCTGAATTTTATTACGCTTTTATGGTCGCAATGTAGTGATGTCACTGCCTGTGCTAGTACACCAGGAAACCGCTAACCATTAACTTTATTTGCATTTTATTTGTATACTACTAACAAAGTTACTTCCTGCGAGCACGCATGTGTGTGTGTGTGTGTGTGTGTGTGTGTGTGTGTGTGTGTGTGTGTGTGTGTGTGTGTGTGTGTGTGTGTGTGTGTGTGTGTGTGTCTGTGGGCTCTTTAATCATCAGTAAATCTCTCAATCCCGGCTTACAGGGAAAAAAACACATCTGGAGATGTTACGAAACCACATTTTATGCGACAAGATGCACAGACACACACACACACACACACACGCTCACACACACTCATTTGAATGTAGGCTCTCTTGCAGGGCCACAGGTGTGTCTGCGTCGGTCAGCTGTGTTATTTGATTACACATTTTGGCAGACGCCTCATCAACACACACACTGACATCACGCATCATTTACCAGAACACACACACACACATATATATATATGTCCCATAGCTGTTTGTTGTGGTCTATTAATTCTTCACATTGAGGAGAAAGTGAATCAGAGAGTTACACAGAATAATAGATTCAAGATTTAAAGGTTTTATCGTAGCTAGAAGCTAGTGTAGTTTTAGCAATGAAATCCCAGACTCCTCCTTCAGTCCAACAAAAATATATATAAGACATAAAACAATTTAAAAAATGCAAGATGAAACAGAATGAAAACAAAATAGTGAATGTTTCAAGTGACTAATGTGCAAGTAAAGGCAGAAGAAGTCAACTGTATACATGTTGAATAGAATAAGATAAGCTAAAAACTGAATTTAAAATTCATGTTACATTTCTGCCTAGATATTTATAAAACCACTATGTTGTATATTTAGTTGATTGTGTATCCCAAATGTTTCCAGAAGTGTGGGAACCCAGAGAAATGTTTTTATTGTCATCAATGCATTTCATTGTTGATACATGTTGATACCGTCACACCCACTTTACCGTGTGTGTGTGTGTGTGTGTGTGTGTGTGTGTGTGTGTGTGTGTGTGTGTGTGTGTGTGTGTGTGTGTGTGTGTGTGTTTTTGCACTCACCACCATAACCCTCATAACAAGAATATCTGTGTTTTTCTGTTGTAGGTCACATTGGTGGTACCAGGCATCAGGGTTAGGCTTTGAATGCACAAACACACACACACTCTGCTCTCACACACACACACACACACACACACACACACACACACACACACACACACACACACACACACACACTTTACTGCTTTGAATAGATTTTTTTAGACGTCATATCACTTTATTTCCTAAATACACTCTTTATCATCTTAATTAAACTCCTGCTCTGATGCATTATCCCTACTGCAATATAAAATTCTTAAATAAAACGTATGTGACATGCTCTATCATTTTCAGTAATAGAATAAATAACATTGAGTAACATTAGATGTGTGTGTGGCGTCTGTATCTTTGGTTTCCCTGCTGTCTTACAGGCCGTGCCAAGTGCATAACAAGTCTTTTTCTGAGCACTGTTGTGGTATTGTGAGGACATCAACGGACATGAATGCACCACTCTGATGTCCTCTAATAGCTTATGACAGAACTGTGTGTGTGTGTGTGTGTGTGTGTGTGTGTGTGTGTGTGTGTGTGTGTGTGTGTGTGTGTGTGTGTGTGTGTGTGTGTGTGTGTGTGTGTGTGTGTGTGTGTGTGTGTGTGTGTGTGTGTGTGTGTGTGTGTGTGTGTGTGTGTGTGTGTGATGTACCGAAAGGACAGGATAGGGATTCACAGGCTCTGATCAGAGACGGCATTGTTGTCCTCATCATCAGCACACTATTTTCTCTCTTTTTCATGTTATAATCAGATTCATTTCTTCCTTTCACCACGTGTGTGTCATATGCTTCGATATGTATTGTTCTCTTGTGTGTGTGAGTGGCATATTTTCGGCTCACAAAAGAGTGTTTTATGTGGTGTTAAAGCCCATTATAGCACATTCCATACATTAATAGGATCGGTTGCATCTAAGAGGATCAGAACCTTTAGGATCACGGTGGACTTGTGTACGCTGTAGGAATGTGTGTGTGTGTGTGTGTGTGTGTGTGTGTGTGTGTGTGTGTGTGTGTGTGTGTGTGTGTGTGTGTGTGTGTGTGTGTGTGTGTGTGTGTGTGTGTGTGTGTGTGTGTGTGTGTGTGTGTGTACACTAACTCCAGGGCTATTCCTTTTACAGTAAAGATCAAGTTCTTCCCCTCTGGGACTCAAACTCTGGTTCTCACGATTATCGCCATCTCCCACACAGACACACATGTGAATACAGACACACACACACACACACACACACACACACACACACACACACACACACACACACACACATAGAGGGTAATGACTGATGAAAGCACCCAAGCAGAATTCAACGTGGTATTCTGTGTACTGCTGTGTGTGTGTGTGTGTGTGTGTGTGTGTGTGTGTGTGTGTGTGTGTGTGTGTGTGTGTGTGTGTGTGTGTGTGTGTGTGTGTGTGTGTGTGTGTGTGTGTGTGTGTGTGTGTGTGTGTGTGTGTGTGTGTGTGTGTGTGTGTGTGTGTGTGTGTGTGTGTGTGTGTGTGTGTGTGTGTGATGTAATACTGCACATGATACTGACAATGAACTACCTCTGAACTAAAGCCAGCAGAGGAACCTGGACAGCATAAAGATGGATTAGAAGACAGATGGAGAGTCTTTAGTGCAAATATGCAGTGATTCTGGTTAAAAAATGATCTTTTATCCCATTTGGCGTGTGTGTGTACTTTTTTAAATTGTAATAAAAGATAGAGCTGCAATAACTAGGTACAATGTTGATCGACAGTTATAATTCAACCATTTTTATTCTCGATTTGTTTAAAAACTGGCAGAGTATCTCGTGTCATGGTTGGTTTGATAACAGCGTCCAGAATTATCTTCAGACATTGGACAATAAACAAGTCTACAGATATGAAGGGAAGGGTCAATGCAATGAAAATTATGAGGATACGTCTTGGGAACGTTTCTGGACATACATCAAAGCAGATAGAAGCATTACACACTTATACTTGTCCATTGCTTAGGTGCTTGATTTCTATTTTATTATCCTCAATGTATGTATGTATTGTCTTCCCTTTTCCATACCATGTCGTATAGGGTCTATGCCAGGACTCTGGGGGAGAGTGGTTGGTTGATGCAGTGTTGATTCGATTCTATACAAATTTGATATACAAAAATGTAATTATTTCTCTCACATATTAAGATTCCCTGATTTGCTCTGTTTAATATATAAACTTAATGTCTTTGGGTTTTAGACGGTCAAAGTTGACAGTAAACAAGACATTTTAAGTCATCTCCTTTAGAGCTGCACAATTTATTGTGTAGTCGTCATTGCGATGTTTGCCAGCGTGAAATACCACATAATACAAGACTGTGATATTAAACTTTGAGATGGTTTTAGTTAGCTGACAGAGTACTCCTTAAACAAACAGCAGAAAGGCAGATCTTAGTGCACTTTGATAGCTTAGTGTATATTTGTATCGTTTATTTATCACAAATGTTACATTATTGCCCCATATTGTGCAGGTCTTGGATGGACATATTACATTATTAAAGTAATACACTTTCATTGATTGATCCAAACAAATGTGGACAGATTAATCCATAAAAAAATCGTTTGTTCAAGCCCTAATACAAGTAATGGTCTCCATGCTTGTTACTTTTTTCTCTTTCCCACACACACACACACACACACACACACACACACACACACACACACACACACACACACACACACACACACACACACACACACACACACACACACACACACACACACACACACACACACTAATCTATAACATCCCTGTGATTGACCCTGTGCCAGCGCGTCAGTGCGCATGGATGCACAGGATGAGCCACACAGGGACAATATAATGCAGCCAAACTAAACCTCAAACTTTGTTAAGATAATACAAAATAACTTACCGTCCGAGTTTCGTCTTCTTAAAGTCCATTTGTGCGCAGACTGCTCTATTTACAAACAGCACAGCGGATCCCCCATTCCGGATGTCCCACCGCTGCGAGGAGACGGAACATAAACACTGAGGTCCGGCATCGAAACTACCGACAATAACTTCACCTAAGTGTCGAGACTTCTCCGGGGGTCGAGAGGCGAGACATGCCGGCGAGAGCACGGAGATTGTAGCAGCGTGTGTGTGTGTGTGTGTGTGTGTGTGTGTGTGTGTGTGTGTGTGTGTGTGTGTGTGTGTGTGTGTGTGTGTGTGTGTGTGTGTGTGTGTGTGTGTGTGTGTGTGTGTGTGTGTGTGTGTGTGTGTGTGTGTGTGGGAGAGAGAGTGTGTGAGTGTGTGTGTGTGTGTGTGTATGTGTGTGTGACGGGAAACTGTGCAGAGTTTTGTTCCGAGACTCAGATGTGTTTGCAGGATGTTCCGCGGGACTGAGTTTGTAACCCCTCCTCCCCTCTCCTCCCCTTTCCCCTATCCAGGCACACACACACACACACACACACACACACACACACACACACACACACACACACACACACACACGCATGCACACACACGCATGCACACACACACACGCAACATACACACGCACACACTATATCCTGCCTCACTTTCCTTTTCCACTACTGGTTAATTGTTGTTGAACGGCCGGAAAAACATCCACGTGATAACAAAACCTGACAATTTTATTATGATAAATGTTTAAAAAGTTATTATTTTTTAGCCTATTTTCTACCTGTAAAAAAGGGGAGAAAACACTTTAAACACACATTGAGGGATGCAACAGAGTCAGTCAGCTATCGTCTGGAAAAGGTTTTGAAAATCCTAGGTTCCCCAAACGCACCTCCTAACCCCCTGCACAAACGATCTTTTTTTTAAATAATGTTTCATCAGTTAACTGTGTTCAATTATATGTTCTGCCAAATTAAGCCAGGGCAGCTCGATAGTAACACATTTGATTCAGGTAAGGAATAAACATTTATTTATTTATTTATGTATTGGGCTAAAATAATTCAAATGTAGATATTTTGACTATAAAAACATGTGAATCATCATCAAATCCCCTCAGTGTTATTTCTCTTGAATAATGTAAATTTTCTTCTAACAAACTTTATTTTCTGGAAAGATTTGAAAAGTTCTGGCAATTGCACTTGAATTTGTGTGTTTTCAAACCAAAATATATCAATATAGCGGAGCTTTAAATAATGATTTAATACGAAAAAAGCATCAGTTTCGAGGTAAAAATGCAATTTACTTGTATTTCAAGTTATACGGTCCATCTTTGTTGCAGTTTATTGCTCTATACACAGGAAATATTGGTGAGTATTTTTTCCAGAGTAATTACTATTTTGCTCTGAAATAGTGATATTTAATCATTTTGGAGTGTATGTATTACTCATAGCTTCTAGAGTGCAATCAAAAATGCAGAGTCAATTCTATTGGAGTCAAACCATGACCACGCTGTAACGGAGGTGATCTCTGGGGCCGTAGATCTCGGTCTCTTATATTATATAGCTGAATTATTGGCGAAGTATATTACTTTGTTCCACGCTAAAACATTGCACAGGAAGCATGTGAATCTATGTCATTTGTGCATCTATTTGTCACGATCTGTCTATGTTTTACTTTGTCTGTCTCTGTTTCTTGTTGTAGTTTGAAAAGTGTTCCCCCTCCCGTCTTGTCTGTTGCTGGTGATTGTGTTCACCTGGTGCCCCTGTGTTTTCTCCTCCCTCCTCACCTGTGTCTTGTTGGTTTGATTAGTCCTGTGTGTATTTAGGTTCTGTTTCCTGTTAGTGTGTGTGAGGTCCTTGTTGCTGGTGACTGTGTTCACGTGAGACAGTCATATTGAGGCTGTGTATCATGAACCACAGCGATTGAATAAATGCCCACACCGGGTTGTATTTTAACTCTCTGCCTCTGCATCCTTGCTTGGTTGGGCCGCTCAATGGTCAGCTTCACACACGCCCACTCGTGTTACTTAAAGGTCAAATGCAAAGCTTCCAAATATGCTAAATTTTTATAGAAATGTTGTTTTTAAGACTGCCTGTATTTTTTATTTAATTTAAATCGAGATAATACACCCGAAAAAAAGCTTTTTATTGATACAAAACTCGACCCAAAGCCGTCTGAATTTCTGACATGTCATTCCCAGCAGCCTCCGCGCGCGTGACGTCATTGTGGCCAAACAGTCTCTGGGCCAAATATCCCGACTCGGCAGTCTCGTGCGCTGTTCACATGTCAGCGGTGTTTTTCGCTCATGACTGGTGCAGAAAACTCTGAATTATATCCACGAAATCACGCAAAACATGGGTTAATGTTGTGCTTTCGGATGTACGAACGGTGCGGGATCTGGGAGAATGTTTCATTCATTTCCCCAAGACAAAATCATCCGCCGAAACTGGATTATTTTAGTGAATCGTGTTGGCTGGCAGCCGACAAAATGGAGCAAGTTGTGCTCTGACCACTTCGCGTCTGATGCATACGATGTTGATCCTGCCATCGTCAAGTCTGTTGGTGGAGAAGCATTTAAAGTACATCGGAGGCTGAAACCCGGAGCCGTCCCCTCCATATTTGAGCACAAAAAACAACCGAAAGAACGAAAGAGCCGGGCAATGCAGAAACGCCAAATAATTTAGGTAAACAAATTTTGATTTGATTTCAAAGCGCACGGAGCACAGAGCGGACAGCAGATAACGAAATTGCAGTTTTATTGCTTATAGATTATCAGAACATTTCAAAGGGGACACAGCCCCATTGGATATTAACTTATGGATTAACTACATCATCGTTTTTATCGTTTTAATGCCATTTTAGACCAGACAAAGAGGAAGGTAAGCCTAGCTCATGTTAGTACCTAGCGCCACTTGTTTTGATGTACATTTTTGTTGATAACCTCGCGAGTTTGTATCTTTCAGTGTTGAGGTGGGCACCGTTAGATTCTGTGTCTTTACGATCATAAACAATGTGTTGGATGTGGAGCTAGGATAAGTAATAAGGGAGCTAGGAGTGATTTTCGGTGCAGTAATAGGTTAGCATTTTTCGCTCGGGGCTAATTCAGAGGCTCACTGTTAGCATTGTGTTTTTTTTTTTAAATAAATGAAAAAGATCAGTTAAATGAGTTTTTTCCCGTTATATGGATATAAAATATTCATAGTTTATTAAATATTAAGGTTCCTTAGACGTCGTTTCCTGCAAATTACGCGATTTCGGGTCCGTGGGGCTAAGAGGATAACAGAGTATGTTTTATCTTTTTTTCACAACAGTTGTATTTGGATGGAATGAATACCTATAGTGATAATTCAAAGTAATAAAATGATTTTTACAGTGAAAAAGTTCAAATGGAACTGATGGTTCCCAAATTACCCAGAGGTCGCCTGGACTTTATTTTTCTAAACCTCTCTAAAAAGGTCAAATTTCACTTGTTTTGCATCAATCTTGATACAGGGTACTTATTATATGTTATAGTTTGGATTCCTAAAGCTTTTAGTCTATAGTCTACTCAGAATCAGACATGATAACGAAAATAAGTTGTACTATCGGCGGAAGCAGCTGTGAGCGATAAGCCAGGTGGAAATATGTTTGGCCACTCTGACGTCACGCGACGCCATCTTGCGGAGACGAGCGGCTGAGAAATAAATCGTTGGTGTTGGGGGTTGAACAAAATAAATATTGCGCATTGCCAGACGCATATTATCTCCGATTTTAATACTGCAATATCTTAGATAGTGTTGTAGCTATATGATTTCGATTTTACTGGCAATTATAAAAAAATCTTTGCATTTGATCTTTAAGCACTTTGGTTTATTGACCTTTTTTATTATAAAGATCATTATGGTTCATGTATTCTATTCTGAGTAAAATGACCTTCTATTGGGAGTAAAATGACATTCGATTGGAGTGAAATGACGTTCGATTGGGAGTAAAATGACCTTCTATTATGAGTAAAATGGCAGTAGAGTTGTTTTTAATATACACTACATAGAGTAAATAAGCAGAGTCAAATCTAAGCACATAATAGAGTAAAATGAACTCTAAAAATCCAACTCTGAACAAAGAGTACATTTTACTCTATATAGGTTGGGACCAAATGTAATATTTTAGAGTAAAATTTTCTTCAATTTGAGTCAATTTTACTCAGAGAAATGTACTGTGTAGTACATGTATCTCCTCATAAAGAAAAAGTAATCATGCTCTTTCTATTCCTATTAATTTTCATTTTGCAGATCCTCTCATGCTGCCCTTCACACGACATGCTCACGCTCAAACCGAATGGAAAATTAAATGTTACCCAACAATAACAGCAGAGGCCCTTTGTGGCACTGTGCAGCAGCTGTGTGAGGCAGAACAGACACATTGTGCAAACACACACACACACACACACACACACACACACACACACACACACACACACACACACAAACACACACACATATCCAAACATGTTTCCATGCTTTAAACAGCAACATGTTACACATTCACCCCCTGGCTGTGTTTAGAGATAAAGATGTGGATGAAAGGAGGCCAGAGGAGCATATTTGTATTAGCTATTTCTGACCAATATGCAAATAAAATGTATTTCCTGCAGGTAATACATTCAAACATCTTAAGAGACTTACTTAGTAGATTAACAACATGTTGGAGGTCAGAATTCCAGGTGTGTGTCATAGTTAGAGCTCCTCACAAGCATTTGAATCTTCAGTTCAGTATCTCAGATACCCTTAAACCAGTCCCTATTTATGCTCCTCTAGGGTCTGGTTGTTCGGACTTTCAGCTTTCAACTCTCTTCTCCTATTTCCCTTTATCTACACATGGTGCTATCTTAGAGTCCGGGGCCTCATTCCCTGAATGTTTCTGTTTCTCACCTGGCAGGTTTTCCTATTATGCTCACTTCAGGTTCATATCAGTATGTAGTGTCTCTACTGGGACATGTCTCCATGCTTTAATGTTCAAAAGCTCATTATGTTTATCATACTGCCTGTGCTGCAGTGCCTCTTTTCACCCTCTGTCTGAAACCAGAGCCCAGTCTGCTCTGATTGGTTAGCTGGCCGTCTCTGTTGTGATTGGTCAACCGCCTAGAGATGTCCCGCCCCTTAGAAAATCACATACTGTACCATATGTTAGAGCGCTAGCCAATAGAAGCGTAAGTGTTTCGTAGTGATGTCAGTTTGTTCAGGAAGTAAACAATGGAGTCCAGTGGAGGCGTTTCAAGCAGGGGGGAGGTGTGGGAGAGAAACTCCCTCTGGAGGGAACACAGGGAATAAAATAATTGTACAAATGAGTGTTAATCCACTCTTTTTTTGTCTTAATCTACACTGAGAATATCGGTTATTCTGAATCCGATAACCATGTTTTCATTATCATCATCTTTACCAAATTAATTTGTATCTGTAAACTGT